TCGCTCGTCGACCTCCTCTCTTTCACAAAACCTCCGTCTGGCCGTGATCGTCAAGCTCCGAATTCCCCGATCCGTACCTTCTCGAACCACCGCGCCGCCATCACCTCTATCGCCGTGGGCCACAGCGCCGGCAGATACAACATTGCCGTTTCGATTGCGGAAGACAGCACTGCGATTGCATGGGACTATCGCACCGGCCGTCTTTTGCGCACATTTCTCCTGTCAGCCAATGCAACATGCCTGACCCTCGACCCCGTTGACCGAGCGTTCTACGTCGGCTACGCAGATGGCAGCATCCAGTCGGTCGACTTCTACAAGAACCAATCCATCCAACATCCGCTTCACGACCCCTCTCTGCATTCCACTCCCGTTCAGCCCTCCGCCGAAGACCGATGGGCACCTCCCTCTGCCGACAGCGGGGCCGCGCACACGCTCACGCTCTCTTATGATGGAATGACGCTACTCTCCGGCCACCAGAACGGAAAGGTCCTATCCTGGAACGTAGGACGGAAGAAGTACGCGTCAACCGTGGCGGACTACACGCACCCGATCACGAACCTCATCATGCTACCCCCCAACGGTCTCTCGTACCCATCTCTCGACCTCACCCGCATATCTCACACCATCGTCAAACCCCGCTACGACCACACATTGTCCGAATCCTCCCAGCCGTCGGGAACCGTCCCAGCCGACTACACCTTCAGCACGCATCTCCTCCCCGCCAGCTTCTCCACTTCCTCCTCCAGACCCAACCAATTCACCGAAGCTTTCACGCACGCCTACTTCCCCGAATCGATGCTGGAGGAAGGTCTCGCCGAACTGGCCGCTTTCGACCAGGGCTCCCCCGGCAATGCCGGAAACAGTGGAATCACCGACGAAGAAGCCTTCGCCAAGGACGCGCAGATCGCCCAGCTGGAAGGCGACCTGGCAATCCTTAAGAAAAAGGCCACGATCAACGAAAACGCCCGCCAGTCCACCTCGGACGAGGTAACGCAGCTGCGCGCCGACCTCGCCAACCTGCACGACTACATCAACGAGCTGCACGGGAAGCAGGAGCAGGCCCAGCGCGAGAAGATCCTCCGCCAGGCGCGGAAGGAGGAGCGCGAGACCCGGCGCCGGGAGGCGTGGTTCGCCGCGGAGAAGAAGGGGAAGAAGGGCGACGCCGTGCTGAAGAAGCTGGATGCGGAGGATACAGTCATGACGAGTGATACGGACGATCAGAGCAGCGATGATCAATGATCTGCCTTGTGTGCGGTTATTTTTGGGTATTGAGATATAATCACTTTTATTCCATTCGGGAGTATCTATTCCGAGATTTCGCGGACAAGGCGTTGCGCAACGGGAGGTTCTAGTTTTCAACGGTTCCGAAAAAGTGTATCAACTGGATGATTTGCCCTTAAATCCTGCACCTGTATATAAATATGAGATCAAGACCGCAGGTGAGTACAGACAGTATCAAGAATTCCATATAGCCCACCAAGTCCACAAAACCAGAACACTCCCTCGAATACACCAGTCCCATCTTGCCCATGCCCCACGAAGTATACCAATCCACCATCTCCAGAACGAACCAAGAATAAACCCCTTAGCTCAAAACACCGAAAGATGAGAAACGCCACATATAATGATTTCTTTCCCAGCAACCGCAAAATCCAAACCCGGGTCCCGAAATCCCCCCATCCATCCCGGACCCTCCCTCCACCCCCAAGGAATGTATCAGCCCAGGTGCGGTATGCATGCAAGTTACCTTACCCTGCCCTACCCCCTTATTTCCCCTTTGCATCCACACCGCGGGTAAATCCGCAACCATGAAAGAATGCGGATCCGGTGCATGATAACACCTGCCCGAGTCGAGTCATGAAACGTAACGCATATTTCCTGTTTCAAATTCGAATACAATACAGATAAAGATAAAGTGCTTCCTAGGGGTGCGCTATAGCTGACCCACTTGCATATGAGTGCCGAGTAGTAGTGCCGATGAGATGGGACGCTGTTACCTGGCGGCACTTGGGTTATGTCTGGACGGCATGGAAAGGCTGCTTTATACAGTATTGTAACGTTAAGGTACATGCTGTGTCTTTCCTGGATGAGGTCGAGGTTGCCGTGGTTGATTTAGTGGTGGTTGGTCCGAAAATGGACTGGAAGTTGACTCCCTGCAGTGGGTTTACTAGCGAGGTATTGCCGGCGCGAGTGTAGGAGAAAACCGGAAAATAAGGTGGTAAGAGGTACGATACTGTGCTACCTGGCTATTTTTTGGACATCGAGGCAAGTCAAATATCCTTGAACATACGCGATGGTTCTGATTCCATAGGGACGAACCATTGACCAGTGAGTAGAAACCGAGCCAAGAATATCAAATAGAATTTGCAACATGCGTGAGTCATTATGCAGGGATAACACCCGGAATCTACAAGAGAAATTGGGGGAAGAGGCTAATCATGCAGGATACGCTATCCGATCTCATCCCACACCATCGGCGCCAACGTATTATCCGTCCATGAGGTGTTATCACTAGTCCCTGTGTTTTCGTCCAGTGGGAAGGGGAATACGGCACCGGTACCCGGCGCCGGGGCGGTTGCAGCCGCAGCTGCATAAGATGAGCTTTCTAGTAGACCCTGAGGCGGAGCAGGCGGGGGAAGAGCAGGGTCAATGGGTCCTAGGGTGGACTGGTCTGGGAGATCGGCTCGTGTTTCTTGGGGTTTGGAAGGTTGTGCCCCCTGCTTACTGCCTGAGCTCGTACTGTCGTTGTCATCTCTCGCGTCAGAAACCTCCTTCCCCTGGTCGTGGAGGGTTCGACCGCTCACAGAGCCTCCATCGCGGTACGCGTGCGGGAATTTGGTCCGGAACCGATCGCGCAGGTCCGTGGCTCTGCGATGGCCGAGGTTCAGCCGTGTATCCTGCTGGATCAGGGTCCATTGGAACCCATGCACCGCATACCCTTTGAGTAGAGCTTCGTCCTCGGCCACGGTGAATGGCCGTCGGGAACGACGCCGGGATTTCATGGCAAAATGTGGCTCCGGGATACCCAGGGACTCCAAGGTCGATTTGGATTTGCTTGTTAGCGTAGGAGTTGCCTTGGCCGTGGAATTCGGCTTAGAGTTGGTGGTCTTCGGAGCGGTCTCTTTGGTGTTCGAGGAGCTGCTGCCGCTACTGCTAGAGGATGGCTCATTCAAGCCAACCGTCACGCTGCTCCCCACGGAGAGGGACTCCGCATTGGCTGGTCGGGGAGGCGGCAAGTGAATCTTCCCGGCTGTGCCATCAGATCCTTCCGTCTCGGCCCGCGAGAGGGCGTTAGCCAGAGTGTCGTGCAATTGCCGCGTGGCTTCGTTCGGGTCGGCAGCCCTTGTAGACGATTAGCTTGGAGTCGGTGCTGATTTGCTTTCCACAGAACCGAGGACTTACCGGTAGGCCCAGGGACAACATACGCGGAACCTAGATTTGTGTTCAGTTGGTGACCTAGATCTCGTTTCCATAGTACAATCCACCTCGAAGCTATGGCTGTTTACCATACCTATCTTTTAAGTTGGAAGCGCTGCGCTTGTTGAACTTCAATTCCGGCTGAGCCAGGATCGCCGTCCAGTTCCCAATGCCGCACTTGACCACTCCACGTAACAGAGCCGTGGTTTCCTCCTCTGTCCACTTGCGAAGGTTCTTACGAGAACGGCCCCGTGTCTTAGGGGATATGGGCTCCTCGTTTTCGTCTGCAGAGGATGACTTCTTGTCGTCCGATTCCCCGTCGTCGGTCTTGTCACATGGCGGCGGCCGATTCGGGGCGACCGGGTCGTCTGGTAGTCCGATGACCACAGCGCCACCGCGATCGCTCAGGGCCGTCTTCGTGGCAATGGGAGAGGCCAGGATATCCTCGATCCTGCCCTCTCGTCTTTCGCCTGTCGGACCCTCCCCGAAGGAAGTGGCTAGCGAAGCCGGCTCAACGACCGAGCTGTCTCGGGAGGGTTTAGTCAGCAGCTGCGTGAGGCTGGAGCCGGCTTCGATGGGCGGCAGAAGAGCGGCATTAGGGGGAGGTTCGTTGAGCCCATTGAGGATCGCAAAGGGCCCGAATGGGGGTGGGCGCTGTTCCTTCTGAGCCTGCGGGATGGGCAGCTGCAGATGCTCGGCGAAGGTCTCGGCCTGCACCCCAACGCGGCGCCGCTTGCGGGAATGATGGGAATCATCGTCGAACGATGAATAAGGGAATCGTTCTAGAGCACGGAGATTAACAAAGGCGGGAAGGATGGGCTTGGGCGGCAAGGGCTCGAGGCTAAGGAGCGAGTCCACGGAGGGATCAGTCTTCTTCTTCGGCGGCCGCGATGCATGGTTCAGACGCTCCGCGGGGACCGCGGCCACGGAATCATTATTCCGGGGGCCAGGCAGAATGCCCGCCGAGCTAGTGCGCGTGGGAGCAGCGGTGGCCTCGCGGACTCGGCTGGCATTCGGCTCCAGCGGCGAAGGCACGCTCAGCAAGCGCGAGACGGGCTGACGGAGAGGAGCTATGCGGAGACTCTGGAGCTGGGGTAATTCTCGAATTAACGATTCGTCGTATGGTCGGGTAAAGGTAGTGTTGGAATCCATAGTTTTCTTCACGGAATCCAGGAGGGTAGCATTCAAACGATGAAAGCAGGGATAAAGATCATCAAAGATGGAACGAGACTCCCCACGTAGCCATGAGCCATTTTGTAGGGTCGTTGACTATTAATCCAGCAAAATTGGATGGAGGGTAGGGTGTTTTTCTTTTTTGAGGGGGAGAGAGAAATGAAATGGAAAGTCAAGTATGGAGTAGGTAGAAATGATAGCTAGTGACTCGGGAGGTACTCCGTCGCAACTTGGCTATTGTAACGTGCTTGCTGCCGCGGGCGGAGTTGAATCTCGGGGCTATGCTGGGTAGGGGCGAGGAAAGCCACCAGAAGCGCAAAACCGGTTTGCTGAATCAGCAATTCCCAATCGGGTGAAAGACGGAGCACTGCCGGTAAGTTATACACTCACTGATTGATTATTGACACCGATATAAATTGAGTCAGTACAAGCCATCCATCTGGTGGACGCATCACAATCAGAACCAGACAACACGGCAGTCAGTCAGTCCCTTCAAGCTCGATAATTCCAACCGTCCACGATGCCCACCATTCTCCCCCCCTGGCCCAACCTAATCTTCGGCATCATCGAGCCCATCTCACTGTACGTCCATACATACCTACACAATAGCTCTAGAATATAGCCCCATAAACATCACGCACAAACAAAAGCCTAATTTCCCTTAATTAGCATTGCCGGAGCCCTAAGCCCCCTCATCAACCTCCCCGCCTTCATCACCGACCAAATCCCCCATCCCCAATCCTTTCCTCTTCCCATCCAACCCCAAACCATCTCCCTAGCCTACCAGCTCGGCAACCTGTACGGCCTGCTCGCCCTGCTGGGGGTGGGGATCCTGCGCACCACGACGGAACCCCCGGTCATCCGGCAGTACCTGCTGGCGCTGCTGGCGGCGGACGTGGGCCACATCGCCGCCACGGGGTGGGGGATGGGGTGGGAGCGGTTCTGCGATGTGCGCGGCTGGAACGCCCTGACCTGGGGCAATGTGGCGGTTACGGCGTTCTTGGGGGTGAATCGCGTCTTGTTTCTGGGTGGGTGGTTGGGGGAGTGTCGTCAATCACAACAACAACCACCAGTTGGAAAAACTGGGATCAAAGAAAAGAAGAATCGTGGTGGGAAGGTTGCTTGAGCTGGCAGCAGTGGTTCTGGGATTAATGCGGATGGGTAGGGGTTTGTTTGCCTTTTTCTGGGGATTTTCGGGCGGGTGGAAGGGGTTGGGTTAATTGTACGTACAATAATAGATGTAAAGAGTCATCGGTGGATTAGACGGCTCCCTCGGTTTCGAATACTCGATCCTTGAGGTTTGTCTGCAGCTAAGGCTGATACTACGGAGGATGGAAGACGGTGCACTCCAGATCTGGTTCTTGAACCTTTGTGGTGTCGGTCTCCACCTCTGTTGTTGATGTTGTTGAAGCTACGTTGTGCACTTCGAACTTGACATCAACTAGTAACTATTATAAGTCTTAGCAGCAGACCTCACATGATGTCAATACCGATAAAGTTAGTTAATGACTCACTCTGACACTATTTACATGTCCTCTGCAAGCATACGCAACCGGAAAAGCCGCATGACATATGACTGAGGTAAAGAAGAGGACTCGCCCCAAAAGTAGGAATAGATCAGTATCGCATGAGCCAGAAGCAACAGGGCAATACGTAGCAAATGCCAAGCGCTAGGGCTGATCCATGGACGGATGCATGGAGGCATGGATGGAGGCTGCTGGCCCGTACTTTCCCCTTCCCCGGCATAGGCGAGCAATTATCAGTACTCCGTGATCCCCGGACAGACAAGTTCAGCTGCATATCAAGGCAGAATTGCGGAGCACCAATGCATACACTGAAGTGATGTATCGACGCCCACGTAGTTCCACTAGGACTACCACCCATGTCCAGCAGCACCCCCGACACCGAACAGGGTACTCCGTACCGTACATCCGACAGAAGCCAAGGTAATCATTTTCTTTATTGGGGGCTCACTACGGGCCTATAGATTATAGGGGATATTGGATCTCCCTCTTTTACTCGAACGACCTGTCCCAAAACATCGCCTCGATCACATACGAACCCAATCTGCCGCTGGAGTCATGAACAGCTAAATATCTAGATGCATTAGAAATACAGTCCCCGCTAGTAGATAGAACCAAAAGCCCCCGCAAAGAACAATCTGCAATAACAAGCATATCCGAAAAAAAAAGAAAAGAAAAAGGCTATTAGGAATGGGAGGAAACCAAAAGTAAGAACAGCCAGGCAGGCGGGAATATCGCCCGCCTGCATAGCGTCTGTCGCAAGATAGATCAAAGTAAGAAGAAGCAAGCCTCGTCAGGCATGGGTTTCCGGTCTAGGATTAATTTGTCCTATGAGACGACTGGTCGTAAAACTCAGTTGGCCTGGCACAGCGAGAACGCCACCGTATTGCATTTAATTCCGCTATTGTTGTGCTCAGGTGTTCAGCAGATGGTTGTCCGACAGTCTTCGCTGTGGTTTCCGGAGCGTGCCTGCGCTCGGATTGGTCATGAGCGCAGAGGAGACGGCCGCATGTGCTGGAAGAGTTGCTGCAAGGCCGGTTGGCCATGTTGCTGGTATTCGCGGATATGAGGGACGAGGAAGGGCACGCCCGGGTTGGTGGTGAATGCTTGTCGGTAGGCGACGAAGTTTTCAGAAGGGTCCAACAGAAGCTCGAAGTCGGGAGGGAGCATGAAAGGGGCCATTTGGGTGGAAGGGACACTAGTAGATGTGCTGATGCTGTACTTTCGAAGACCGTCGATGATAGCTGTGAGGGAGTGGTAGTTCCGCACCATCAGTAGAGCCTGATCTCAAGATTAGCTCTCTCCTGGATCTTGCCTCTGATAGAAGATTCTCACCTGTACACATTCCTGGATGTAGCCCACCAATTCGGGAAGCGCTGTACAACACTCCCACACCGCTATACTTAACAGCTCCCATTCTGTAAATACCCGCTTGACCACCGGCCCTGGCTCCACGAAGCTTTTCTGCGAGAGCCCCGTGAGATACCCCTCATCGATATGGGCCATCGTACGGGCGAAGTCCAGCGGCGAGGTCGACGCCGTCAAGTCTTCCAAGAACGCCAAATTGAGTTTGAAAGGTCGAGTCCAGATCATGTGCCGCGTATGCACGTATGCCTGCTTGTACCGCACGGCTGAGACGCATAACACTTTCAGAATAGATTTCAAGCTGGGCGAGATCTCTTTGAACAGCTCCTGGATCGGACCGGCGATGAACTCGAAACCTGGGGTCGTGGGACTCGCCACGATTTGCCCCCCTCGAAGAGCACGCAAACAAGCCACCACAGCCCGATGAGCAAAGGGGCTCCGGCTGCGAAGATGCTACCCGCTAATGTCAGCATCTCTTTCAAGCACTGGCCTGGTAGGACTGTACGAACCTGTTCCACCTCGACATACAGTGATACTTCCTCCGGAAATGCCTGAAGATGGTGCAGTAAGTGAATATGCAACGCGGTATGCTGTTGCAGGAACCACTCCACTGAGAGGGCCGAGTAGCCCAGCGAGTAACGCACCAGCTCTTCGAAGGGGATCCGGGTGAAATGCAGATGGCTTTCATGGTCGAGGTCTTCGGCGATGCCGATAGCAGTCATGTTCCGGTTCCCTTGCGCGGGAAACCAACTCCACGTTGCCAGCGCCGGGTCTGCCTTCCTGCACCGGCGCAGGATCTCCTCCACCTTCTGGATGTGGGAGAGGTTGCCGATGAAGGACCTCTCATGGGGCTCGACCAGCTCCGACAAGAAGGCGTCAATGGCACTGGCATTGCGATTCTGGAAGGCGGTTCGAGGGAGACTCTCGTCTCGGAAGAGGCCGAAGCGGATCGCCCGTTTGATCTCTTGGATGTCAAAGGCCCACAGCATCGTCATGGCCTCATCTTCCCACCAGCGATATTTCATGTAGAACGGAGGGATCTCCGCCCCGGCACGGAAGAGAGACGGGTAAGCCGGTGGATCAAACATGACGGGCACGCCAGTGGAGGAAGGGGAGTATGTGGACATTGCCCACTGCTGCACCACGGGAAAGTCAGAATGAAGAGGACCAAAAAGCCAAATTGGTGTCTTGGGAGAAGGGGACGGGCGCGGTGTTCAAAAAATAAGTGTCTCCTTTTTACAGTGAGTGGGGGGAGGGAGGGGGGGAAAGGGTTTGAGTGGGGAGGAAAAGAGAAGAGAGGGGGAATCGGGGGACAGACAGAAAAAGAAAGAGAGGAAAATAGAGTGGTAGTCGAGAGGTGGTGGTTACAGTTCTGTAAGAAGAAAGATCCCGATAGATAGTAGTAGATGATGAATCGTACACACCACACGCAATCCCTCACTCAGTCAGTCTGATTTAACTCACATGTAAGTTAGCTGGACACCACACCACCTTGACTTCTTCTTCTGCTTCTTCTTCTTCTTCTTTATTAGACCCCAGGTTTTCTTTTTTTTTTTCTCTTTCTTGTTTTTCTTTCTTCCCTTTCCCTGGTTTAGTCTCTGTACCACTGACTACTACCCAGAGGTATAGACGGAAGCAAGATCTCCGGCAGACGGTGGAACGGCTATGATTCTAGAACGTCCCGGATTCAGGCATATGTCCAAAGAACCATCGACGTCAGAGGAGACTTACAGATTGGATTCAAACCCCACAGTAAGGTCAGTAGTCGATGTAAACTGACACTAATAATAGTGGATGATGGTAGCGTACATTGAAAAAGGCCAGAGCAGGAAAGCCAGCAGCAGCACCGGTGGTGAAATGATGGATACTATAACCAGGAACCGACAATGGGGAAACACTGACTCCTGATAAGAGGGAAAGAAAGAAAGAAAGAAAGAAAGAAAGAAAGAAAAAAGCTTTTATTGCATTCACACCATCACTCTAGTGATACTAAGCTTAAGGTAAAAGTCATAGCAACCTCCACTTTTTTCGCCCCGAGGTTTCTGAAGAGGATGGGTCAATGTCTAGCCGCGAACTGCTTATTCCTCACTTTGCCACGTTTGACAACTCACGAGGGTTCAGAACGGTATCTTGCTGCTTGACGCGGTCGAACGGCCGAAAAGGATGGCGGCAAGTGGCGCATTACATACAAGAGGTATGATTTGAATGATCAAATCAACTTGGAACCTGTAAGATAAAGATCCAAAAATCCAAGAATCCAAAAATCCAAAAATCCCTGGCAGGAGACGGTCAGTACTGCATTAAATTAGATTATAATCAAGGGAGTACTCAATAGAAAATGGCTGGCGTTGATCCGAACCACTGGGACCCGGGAGCCAGGTTAGGCTGAAGCTACGGAGATTACCTCAACACCCACAAGCTGAAGGCGTGAAATAGACCTCGTCTAGCTGACTTTCCCAGGCCAATCAGTCCAGGTCGCCGCCAGAATCGTCTCCAACCACACTACCGCCGGTCAGGTAGCGCGTGCGACCTGGGATAGGGCCGTTAGGTCTTGGGGGAGGGCGTCTATTCTATCTAGTCTAGGGGCGGTTGCGGGGCTGAAGACAATCAGCAGGGCAGATGAGAATCGGAACGGCCATCGAGCGAAGACCAGTCCGTTTGGCAATAGCACCACCGATAATACCAGCCATTAATGAATGGCTGTCAGCCAACGGCGGCGGTGGATCAATAGGTGGCATATGGGGTAAAGGGGAAAAAAGCCAACCAGGATAAAGGAAAATGGCAGGAGAAGCGGTCAGGAGCCGGGATGGAACATCTGGCCATGCATTAGTCGTTGGGTTCTGGAAGATTCACCCAAGACTCCATTCATCAGGGTAAACGGGCGAAAGCGGAAGTATGTGTGAGAAAGAAAGAAAGAAAGAACGAATGGAAGAAAGATCGAATGAAAGAAAGAACGAATGAATGAAAGCATCACCTCCATCACTGTAGCGGTGTATCGAGAGAATGAATAATGAGGTCAAATATACATCAGGCCGAGATCGTGAGGCGAAGACATTCAGCCGGCCCCGGGCGGCCTCTCCTCTAAGAGGATGCTTCAGACTTCAGCAGACGCCAGGAACGGGGCTGAACCCATCGTCTCGTTCGTCATGCTGATGCCGGTGATAGTCGATGATCCTATAAGGCACCATCTCTCGGGAAGACCCAGATGGGAGCTGTACGAATCCACCTTTAGTTGCCACCATCTGGAGAGTCGGTAGCAAGGGCCAAGGCAAATGATGGATCGGGGAGGGGGAAAGGACTAGAAAGTGGCTAGCAATGGCTAACTTAGCGACTAGGCTCTGCTACTGCGGGCCCTAACTTAGTCGGGCTTGTTGTTCCTTGTTAAGTTGCTTTCTTCAACTCTCAAGGCCGTTTGAACGAATGGCGAGGAGGCCCAGCGACGAGGGTATAGCTGTA